CATGTAGTGTACACATGTATGATTGACAGAATGTGCAGGGCTGACTTTCCCAATAAATCTAGAAAAGAAAATCCCTCACAATCTATTAGTGAATTATTTTAAATATCCAGCCAAATTACATGCACGTATTACAGGTATAAACACAACAAACCTATTTCCTACATTTTCATAAATATTTATACTAATCCATGAGCACAGAGTGCAATGACGTCATTTAAAAATGCTCAGCAAACAGAACACATTTTAAAACTGTTAAATATAAAAATGAAGGGAATGCACTTGCTGTGTTGTAACAGTTGCAAAAATTGTCTTTAAACTGAGCAAGTTTTGTGATAAATTTTTGGAGCAGTAGGAATATACGATACATTGACCAATGAAAATGCAAGACTGTGCAATTGTGATTACAATGTTGACAATGACAAATGTAAGCAAGTATTTGAATACCTGGTTTCCTAGGAGATTCATCGTCATCTGACATCATCCACCATGGTAAATCTTGGGCTTTACCCCGGGCTGACGTTTTACTTCCACCAAGTATCTGATTGATAGCATCAGAGTCAACGTCATCAGCATCTGATACAGACTAAACCAGTTGAAAAAGACAATATTATGCAGTTATTATCATTTGTTACACTCAACTTCCAGAACTCTACACACCTTTGTTTTTGTATGTTTTTTATTTTACTGTGGTAATTTTTGAGGTATGACAGACGAGGACAAGTTTTGTAGTATTTTCGGAGACCATGTTTTTTACTGATGTAAACCAATGTAAATGTTGTCGTTTTTGTTCTTCAAAGGCTTGTTTTGTAATATTACTGTCTGGTAAGGCACTAATACGATACCAGTATTTAATAAGATTTTCCGGAATATCTATGAGTAATGGAAATTTACCAAGTTCAGCTCTACATGCTGCATTTGAGGAGAATATATTCACACCTAGTATTTTTGTGCAGAATTTCAAATATAACTGTTCAATTGGTGTTTTGTCCCATCTATTATTGCCATGTATATGTTAATCCATTTGCAAGTTGGTACCCAGGCTCGTTGGTATCGGGGCAATCGGCTCGTTGGTTTAGAGCAAGTTGGTTTAGATGCAACTTAACTGATACCCCATCACCCATAACCATAATCCTAACCCCACCCTTCCCACATTTAAATTGTACATGCCACTCTTCAGGATCTCTATAGTTATTTGGGGGACATACGCAATTGGGGGCGGACTGTTAGGGGCCTTTAGGAACTTTTTCCATTTTTTTTTTATTTCAACAAGAAAGTATGACTGTAACTTTGCACTCAGGTTTCTTGAGATATACAGAATGATATGGCATCCTGTTTCTAACAATTCAAAGCACAATCGCTTTTTACCCACATAAGAGAAGAAAACAGTAAAATAATACCGATCATGAAACACATGTTATCGGATGGGGAATGGTTGCATTGGTAATCTGTAATAAAATCACTACGGCGAACCGGATCTATATTACTATCTTGAATTTTATGCTTCTATCAATAGCAAATTTAAAAAAAAAAAAATCAAACACTGAATTTTAGCACTCGGGCCAATGAACCTAGGCTGATAGACCTGACTGTAATCAAGTTTGACCACTTGGTAAATATGCTGGTGGCCAATGAACTATTTCTTGTCGGAACTTGTTTCGATTCGTGTAGATTCAAAACACGCGATGTTCGCTTACCTCTTTTAGAAATTGTTCAAATTTCTCATCCATCTCTGACTTTGTAAACCGTTTTTTTGACATCTTATGATTATCTCTGTGTTTCGGAGCAGGTATAATGAAATGAATATATACCAAGAACTGGTACTTGAAAATAACCTTAGCAATCTCGACCAAATGAAAACAAACTGGTCAAATCATCCGCCATGCATATCCCAAGATGCAGTTTCAATGATACCAAAGCCCTCTAACTTAACGAATGATAGGCAAAAATACATTTTGTTCGTTTCTTTTATTAAAAATATGCAACCTAAATTGTTTGAACTGAATAAAAATCGCTTGTATAACTGTTTTAAGAATCTGGAAATTAAGTTAAATAAAACTAAAGTAAGTAATGACGACATATTCTTAAAAGAATCTTGTGATAATAAACAGCAAGTTAACAGGTCCGTATCCGAGCAAAACAATATGGCGGACATTCCTGTATTTGCTGATAATGCTATGCTGCTGTCAAGGAAGGTAAATATTTCGAAAATGAACATCTAGATCATTCTGAAGTGAGTTTACTGTGAGAAGAGGGGAACAGAGACATCGTCATGTATTCAACATCAATTTACTCGTATCCTTTGATGATATATTTACCTTAGTTTCCCTATATGGTTGAGATTGAAAAGATCATTGACCTCAAATCAACTCGATTTTGAAAACAAGTTCAAGATTGTAGCTGGTAAAATAACATCGATTCGTGTTTTCTGGTTATTTTACTTGACAGTTGTCACCGGATTTTCTGAAACTGGAGATATTGATTAGTTATCAGTAATGTGTATAGCGAAAAACATGACTAGTTGCTATAGTATTTGTCTTAAGTGTATGAAACTACTATACACCAGTACTTTGTCAATAGCATTTTATTGACTCATTCTTGGAGATACTGTTTACATCACTAACTCTATTTTACCCACTTGTACAAATGTAAAAATTGTATGTTTTATTCAGTTTCAACTGTTGAAACACAATTTGATTAAAAAAAATAATCTCTGATACAAGTAGAAGGTATATAAAATGGCAACAATTTATACCTAGTTAATATCGTCAAATAAACAAGCCCATTCCCCTGCTTGCCCTTCACAATTCAGACTGAAACAAGAGGTTTCTATTCACTGTTGGAATAACGTTGGAATATCAATTGACGTCATTGCGTACAGCACTCATTGATTGGCTGGTTGGATTTAACTGCCATTAAAATTTATAAATACATGTATCTATGAAAATCAAGGGAATGGTGTTGATAGTATCTGTTTATATTTGTTATATATATATATATATATATATAGTATATGTATATTTTTATTTTTGGAACATTTAGACCCACCTATCTTTGATACTGTAGCTGCACCACCACTTTTCATAACGACAGTTTACTTTATCAATAATTCATTGTAATGTACTTGTTCCTTTTAGTAACTATGTATATGTCTCATTACTACTCACAGTGTTTCCTGATACTTCCATAAAGTATCTTTCATGTACAAATTATGCCATGTATGTGCGGCATTGGCTATTTTGAATATGTACATGCGTTTACTTAAATTAGTGTTTCTGTGGTCGAAATAAGTACTATTTAATGATTCAGTCTATAACAAATGTGGTTTTTTGTTTATACATGTGCTTTTATCAGCGATTCGCTTCTAGTTAACCTTTGCTGAGTTTCCTCTAGTGTTTAACTCTGTCTGGTAAGGGCGCTGTGAATACAACATGTGTGTATCTAACTGTGTCTAACAAAAATAAATATGGCAGCTACATTGATGTATGTGAACCAAAGGAATCACAACTTCATACAGTGTAGCTTCATTGAAAACTTGTTCATTTGATACAGAACTGACTGTCTTAGGAAATAAACTGTTTTGACGGATAGTAAAAATGAATGATTAAATTAGAAAAGGTAATTTATTGTGAATTAATGTACTTCTGAATAAAGTGTTTGAGTATGAAAATTCAGTTTTGGATAAAACAGGTCATGTCAAAAATCTGTTGTACGTTTGTACCATGCTCTGATAACCCAGAAGTGTAGTGACCGTATGTCATGCGCCCTCTTATGGTAAAAAACAAGATGAACTTTTTTTTTTGTTTTCTACCAAGAATGATGAAAAGGTCAATAGATCAAATGTGGTAATACAGTGTACCTACTGGCAAAGACTTAAACTTATTGTTCCTGCAAAATGAAAGCTTGCATTAAAGACATTGTGAATTCAGCTTCCATAAGTGGGCATGATTTCATGACTGTTGCAGGAGGATGGTTATTTATCCATTCATTAACGTAATTACATTATATTAATTGGTTAGTTATTGCATGTACTTGAAGATTGATCAATGTTTAGAGGAGTATTCAGTTGCCACTGGGGTGTATTTTTATATTGCATGATGTGCATATACAATATACCGGTACATGTTGTATTAGATTTACTTAACTGAATGACTCTCAGGGACAAATTTCGTGGACAACAGAAGGAAAATTATGATCAATACACTGAAGACAGAAGGCATCAAACAATAATCCATGATAAAGCAAGGAGGTTTTCAATGGAAAATGCCAGAAGGCGTCGGTAAGTTTATGTGAATTATGATTCTGTGTAAGTTAATTGATGTGTAAACCTGTGCATAGGTACAGTGCTTGCCTCAGGGAGATTGTGGGTTTAATTCCCTAAGCTGACTGATTACTTAGCAGTATAAATCACAGTACAGTCTTCCCTGCCTTCCAAACACGTTGTTTCTAAAAAAAAAAATGCAAGAGGGAGCACTGCAATTCAGCGACGCCACCAAGTGGGGGAGATAGGGTTCTCCCTACCAGGGTGTGGAGTTATTCATAATTCTATGGCTTCCTTGGGGCCAAAATTACTATCAGACAGGTCATGATGGCATGAGGGTGCTGCGCCCCTGTTCCCTTGCTTAAAAAAATCTCTGGTTAGGTTTGGAAGACTGATCCATAAATGCACTAGCAATTTCCACTACAAACAACAAATTTCAAACCCAATATTGAAACAAAAATCAAACGACACTAAATTACCATGTGGAGTGGTTACAGCTTGAACTCATAGGCTTATTACCACTCTGTTCCCTTCTAGCATACAATACATTAAATTACAACGACTTTTAAAGAAAACCATCCTTAATGCGACTAAATCTATGATGTATAATTAAAATTAAAGTTGCCCGTTCATTGGAAAGATGAACAGACCTGTCCTATTTGATGATGTACCTGTCCTTTAGCAAGATAAATTATGACATATTATTTAAAATACAATTTTAATTATTGGCTCATCATTTCATAAGTCTTTAAAATTCTGAAAGCAATTTTCTGGATATTAGAAACCTTGGACTACGCCATTTGGTCATTTAGTAAAACTTGATATCAGTCAATTTGTACATCTACCTGTCCAAGCTAAAAACTGCCTGTCTGGGACAGGTGGATAGGCCTTAATTTTGACCCCTGGCTAACAGTTGCAAATACAATTCAAATTTCTCAAAGCATGCTGCAGATTAAACTATCGAAATTATTACTAAATTGTCCTGTTGAGTCCAGAAACATTAGAATTTATGAAAAGGATTAATATATTTTAAACATGTGAGATCGTGTTGAGTTGACAAATTATGGTATTTATAGTCTGCTCTTTCCTTCAGAAGATTGGGACAAAAATAGCGACATTTTTTGAGTAAAAACTGAAAATTGACTCAAATTTTATCTATTGGCTCCAAAATTAGGGTTCATTTCCAGAAATATTAAAAAAAGTGCTGACAAATTTGGGCAAGAAAGTCTGGTGGTGAAAAGGTTAAAAAAAAATTTACACTGCACTGGTGTAAGAGTTTGCTGCAAGTTTATGACAGTCAAAAGCTACCATGTACACAAATCTGGTCTGTCACATTCACAATATAAATACAGGTTCCATGGCCAAGGGCCAGTCAACCTGGGTGGGGTAGTTTTACTAGTGAACAAACATTCATTCTTGGCTTGAAAACATGCATACTGTACAAATTAAATTTACAGTATATGATGTGCTTGACTACCGGTACATGTAGTCTATAATTTCTGATTTTTATAAAACTCATTGATCTTTGCTGGAAGTCCCGGAGACGGATGTTAATTAATTATTACACTTGTGTAATCAATTACATGTACAAAAGTGATCGATGAGTGATTATTCTGTCTGTCATCATTGTTATTTGGGGGTGATAATGGAATGAACTACATTGTACTTGAATTAGTCTGGCTATCACGTGAATATGTTAAAATAGCACACTAAGGAGGCTTCTAATGAACCTTTTACGTGTATTTGTAGATTGGTTACTGTAAAATGACTAATTTTCACTGCGTTTAAATTTTACTGATTTACCATTTCAGGAATATTCAGTGGGTTTTAAATTCACGGTTTTATCATTTAGATAATGTCTTCTATGCTAAATTTTACATATTCACTGGGTTTTAATTTAGCGCATTTTCCAGACAGCAAAATAAGCAAAATTAAAACCCTTTTTACTGTAAAATCCTTTTACAGTAGTTGATTCACATCTTGCAGGTAAATGGTAAAGTTTTTTTTCTTGTACTGTTCATATAGACAGCAAAGAGTTACAGCAAGCCCAGAAAATTGAAACCGTATGAAATGGCTATATCAGTAATATTTACATGTACTATAGTCAGACAAATGTGATGTATGTGAAAGATTATGTAAAGACTGTTGGGGCCCGGTGTTGGGGTCATCAGAGTACTAGTACATGTATATAGATTTAAGTGCCAAACCAATTACCGGTAGTTAATTATTCCCTTCAAATGCACCTCGAAATTCGGCTGTGTAGATTAGGCGTTTTCCATGCGTGGATGGGTGTGTCTGTCCAACAATTTTAAAAAATTTTAAAGATTTAATTCAAACTTGATATAAAAGCAGGTCATAACATGATCTGTAATAATGCTTTGCATTTTGTTCTTGTAATATTGAATGGTTATTCAAGCCATTGTACGAGTATTCCCTCTATAAGCCCAATAGGTTTTGATGTCAAGTACTAAAGTTAATGTTTTATAATTTACATGTACTGGTATATAAAATAGAGGGCAAAACAGCAGTTGCTGATTTAAGTATAAACTTTGTTAAACTGGTCAGTTCTAATTATGCATTGACACAGACATGATCAGAGCCTGCGTACAAATTATGATTTGTTGTTACCATGAGGTTTGCAGCACCAGCAGATTTCTTTAGTTGCTTGTGATCTGGGATTAGTGTTTTATCAAACTTATCAGCTCTAGTACTTGTTCGCTATCGTTTCTGTGGGAAGGTGGGTAGATTATATTATTTTGTAAATTTACTTGTACAAGCGTCAAGTTTATAGAAAAGTTTGTCAGAAGTTTTACCGGTACCGCATGCAGGGTTAATGGGGTCACTCCCTTCTTGGAAGGTAGCATTTGTACTCTGGACTGTCACGATCACGACATGACTCATAAAAAATATACTGCCATGATCCATTCCAGTGGTGATGCCCAGTGAATATGTACCAATGCAACAACAGGGATTGAACTTCAAAGGTAATTGCCACGACATGTATGAGAAATAACAAAACATGAATCTGAAGTCTTGTACATGTAAATAGAACCATAGCTAACTATCATACATGTATGTATGTAATGTAATGTTCCAAGTTTTTGCTGACTTTTGAAATATTTTTTTCATTCTGAAAACTATATACCGAGAATTCACATTTTGAATTAACAATTAATGTTTTTGCTGACTCTGGATACATTTTTTCCATGATGAAAACCGTATATGAACAATTTGTGTTGAACACAGATAATATAACTTGTCATAGAATTTGTTGTGTGTTAGTTAGTAAGTGTTAGTTAGCAGTTAGAGCCACTTTTTAGATTATTTCACTCTTGTTGCTTCATGTGTATTTCATTATGACAGGTAAAAAAATGAACCATAGCATAATTGCTTTTCGTTGTTAGGAGTAGAACTTTCTCAATTAATGTCAAGTTCATTTCAGGTATCTATTGACAAAATGAAAATGCATTGATTTAGTGAATAAAAGGTCACGCACTGCTCATTATTCCATGATTAGAGGGCAAGGACTCCAATAATGGCATGTCCTAGTCATGAAATGACGTGACCTAAATTTCGTAAAAGTAAAAAAAAAAACATTGTTTGTTGTGCAGTCCATATGCATGTGATAAATGTTAAATATTGGTGATCCAACCTCAGTTTCATGTGATTCATCAATTCTGGTTTGATGCAACACTTACAAAGTACATTGAACTCTAGCAGTGTCTGGTTATTGTTTCATAACCAGGCGTCACATGGTATCCACCAACCAATGACAACACGATATACATTTTTTTCCTACAAATGTAATTGTTGTAAAGGTGAATAGCTCTCGGTCACAGGTCATTTGGCTCAATGAATGTTTGTAATTTATTGATGTCCATGATTCAAGGTACTGTTTAAGGGTTAATTATTCACTGGGTTTAAATTTTGCTTATTTCACTGACTGGAAAATGCACTAAATTAAAACCCAGTGAATATGTAAAATTTAGCGTAGAACACATTACCTAAATGATAAAATCATGAATTTAAAACCCACTAAATATGCCAAAAATTGTAAATCAGCGAAATTTAAACCCAGTGAAAATTAGTAATTTTACAGTTATGCGTGAAGCATTGTCATTATATGAGAATTGTTTAAAAGTGTTTTAAAATCATATGTCATGTATTAAGTTTTTTAATGTGAAAAACTCTTGCTATGTACTTAAACCCACTAGATATCTGTGTGAATATTTTAATAGTAACCTGATTTAAACTAAAGATGGAATTTTTGTTTTGGTAATAAAGCGTGGAAATAGATTCTCCGCAGTGTTTGATACTGGTACTATTTTGATGTTTATGAAGGTAAATAATTCATAGGAGAGCATGCCTAGACTGAATGCGGCATCCCTGTTTTAATGTTGATGATAAATACATGTAAGGCATAAAGTGTCAATACACAAGGCTTTGTAAACAATATGTAAAAACTTTGAGTACACCAGTACAATGTACAGTAGATGGTTTATTTGAAATTAACGCAGCAGGACATCTGACTATTTCTCACCTGTGTATTGTTTGGGAGGATAATGACCTTTTCTTGTCCTTATTGTTTATTGCTTAATTCTTTCATGGTTAGATTGCAACACTCAATTTTGACCTTGTTAAACAGGTATGATTACTACCAGAAAGGCAGTTTAGCAACAGGATGGAGTACCTATTGTGTTTTAATTGTCTTCCTGGATTGTAAAATAAAAAGTGTTACCTTGTAGAAAGAGCACGTCTGAGTTCCTTTGTGTTGTTGTCGATGACATAATTGAGAACACAATAAAAGTGAATGGGGTGGGAGGATATTCAGCACAACAAAGAAAAAAAAAAGTACACTCCCATGTTGTGTTGTTTAGGTGCCGGTGTTTCGTTGTTGTATTGGCTACAATTGGTGACAGATTTCTTTGTGATTTCAGAGCGCTGGAGTTGAAGAAAAAAATCGAAGCTCAGAAAGAATCCAAACGGAGACAAGAAGCTTTAGACGAAAGAAGGAAACGTCAGCACGAAGCCACTGTGAAGTATCAGCGATTCAACAGAGTTGCTTCTGGTGAGTAAATATCTTTCTTGTGTCTGTCTTAAAAGTTATGAATGTTTTACTAAGGTGCGAGAGAGTCATTGTGTAATTGTCATTGATTAACCAGTGTATGTCCATGTATAGGTGATTGTGTTAACCATGAATAGGAAGTTGTGCTAGACTCTGTATTAGTCATTACAATTGTCTAAATGAAAATGTTCATTGCATCGAAGAGACTTGTTACAACTACATTTCCATGCGCTACCGGTTTATCACTTTATGGCAACTACATGTACCATTAAAGCATACATGTACCTAAAACCTAATTACGTGAGAGAAATTGTCAGCGACTTTTTGTCTCCACGAACGCTTTAAAATCATTGAATCACAAAAATTCCTACTAACGAAAACTAAGTCCTTTACAGTACTGTGAACACTAATAACTTTAATTTGATGAAACATACAATGAGTCAGGAAAATATTTAAATTTCATAACAGTGAACTTGGGTTCAGACGAAACTTTCTAGCAGTGAAAATTAAATGGTTCAGATTTGTCAGTGTATTCTCTACTGTGGCAGTTTTCTTTATGGCTGTTTTAGTGTGTGTACTGTAGGAAGTATGAAGAGAGTGTACACAAGATTTATTGTCTAACAACGATCGACTTTATTAGGAGCACAACTCAGCAAATGCATACATGTACGTAGGTCATGTGCTGTTAGAAATATGAAATACATTGGATTAACTATTGTCATGTTGCATCAAAAAAAGTTGTACTGTGACCTATTTTTAATATACTACGGGTATACGTACATTTGCTTCTAGAATCGCAGGAGTCAGAAATGAAAACAATCACGTTTTTAGCTCAACGGACTGTAGGTCTGCTGAGCTAATAAATCTATGGTGCTGTGTCAGGATGGATGGATGTCAGGATGTGGGCGACTTTTTCAATTTTCTTTTTCGGGCACATTCATTTTTGGGAAAAAATGCTATTTGATGAGACCCATATTTACAATTTACAACATAATTTTTTTCTAATGTTACGTCTCATGTTATAAACAAGTCAATACCAGACTGATTTAAACATTGTAGTGTTGGTAACAGTGAAGGTGAAATCACCAAACATAATGTCTGCATTGGAAATGCAGGTGACATTGTCATACATGTATGTCATATTTATGTCAACACAATTTGTTGTTTTCACTAAAAATAAATTAATTTATAGTTGAACAAATGGCGTACCTTACTTGTACATATATATCTGCTTAGTTCAACATGTGGAAATTAGTATTCCTATTGTGTCCCATACTATGAAATACGTGCCTTTAACAAGCCGTTGTTTATCAATATGTGGTGTATGAAAGAGATGTATTTTGTTACAAATTACTGCACTCCTGGTATTCATTGTACTAGTATCTTTTGTGTTAAGATTTGTAGTGGACAGATGCGTTTCTAACTTGGAAATATTGGTTGTGTGCGTGACTGTTGTTTTTCTCACAATCGGTTCACTGAGTGGGCAATAATTGCATTGCGTCCAGGAGTGTTTTTGAATGGTACTATAGAATTAGGTTATGGTGTGTGGTTTTGGAACAAAAAGGGAATGTAACTATTACTGTTTTTTGCCTTAGCTACTGATAGGAGCCGACCTCCAGGACTGGAAGAAGCCCTGAATGCTGTACGTTTATCTTCAGCTCCAATCTATCGTACAAAATACCAAGCTAACTATAGCCAGTCTGACACGGTACACGTTTATAGTCCCTGGAAAGCTACTGTTCCAAGGAATGTGTACAACACTGCATCGTATCGGGCGCAGCACGAACAGCTGCAGACATCCAGTAGTAAAAACTTGAGCCAGAGTCGAAGTCTGTTCGAGCAACAACTTCAGGATCAGCAGAGACAGTTTGCATTGCAGCATCAGAAATCGCTGCAGGATTTTAACCGAGCCATAATTAATGAAAGTAAACTCTCAAATCACAAAGAAGATGAAGTCCGTGATAGTCTGTGTAGTGTAGATAGTTTAGAGGAAGGAAATAACGCTAAAGAAAAAGTCCAAGAACCGGAACGGGTTAGGGAAACAAACAGTGAAACTAATAACCAGCAAATCTACAATGCTAATTATACAACTTCTGGAAACCCTGCCACGCTTCACAGCACAGTGAATAAAAATGGATCAACCACACAGATAGGTAATAAATTATTCGTGCCAAAAAGTGTTACGACCAGTGAATTGGCCATTGGTCAGGAGCCGAGGAACAGTAATTTGTCTACAGAGAACACAAAAATTGAACAAAAACCAAGCAGTGATTTGAGACTTGAAGAGACAACTGATACAGATATTGTAGATGATAAAGTGGATTTCTCTAAAGCTGATGAGGTGATGGTTACCACCGGCCCCACTTACACCAGTGCCGCCTCTAAAATTGGCTCTAATCAAACATGGACACAAAGCGGTAGCATGTACACTGGAACCGACTCATCAGTTAGCAGACCTACTAGGTCATACTCAGCGAGGACTACTGCAACCGGAGTGACTGTTACACCAGCTGCGTATAACTGGAACGAGTACAAATCTTATGTTAATCCGGTCCCTGCACCGAGGACAGCCGACTCAATTATACGACCGCAAGTGAATGATTATCCAAATTCACATGCACCTGCAACTTCAACTACAACTTCAACCGGGGTGTATTTTGTTAACGAGACTCCATCCAAACCCGTCCAAACCAGCAATGTGAACAATGTTAAGATTTACAAAGAACCGAAAAAGGAAGTTGATTATGTGGATGAAGTCGAGGAGGATGACAGTTCAGATGATGTGCTTCAGGATTCCTCCCACGATACTGCACCTAAGAGTATTTTAAAAAAAATTCCGTCCAATTATGGCAGTGGTAGGTATGGGTCGTCAATATATCTGCAACGCAGTGGTAGTAATATTAGTCTTGAAGGAGTCAAACTTAGAGATAGTATTGATGTTACAAAGAGTAGACAAAGCGAGACATTTGAGTCGACTAAAAAGAAAAGTGTTCGGTGGACAGATTGGGATAAACAAAGTAAACTTACGATACAATTAGGAACGCCAAGAGATGAGCCGACTGGTAAGAGGAGACCATTTTCAGCAACTACGCCACTCACCGTTTCATCTGTGCCAAAATCTACTAAAGCTAAAAGATCTGCAAGTGCCGGCACTATTCGGCATGCTCCTGTTCCCAAACCTAGAGCAGGACCTAAAGTTCAACCAGCTTTGGTTGCAACTAGAAACAATATCCCCTCCAATAACAACGGCTCTAACTATGCAACTATGAACGGTTATAGTCATACATATCCTGCTCCCTCGCATCAAGATTCTGATTCGCCTTGTGAACATGCAACTCATAATGGAGAACGGACTAGAAGTTATACAGGTATAGGGTTAGATAAAACACCAACCGATGATGAAATAAACTGGCTGTGGGACAAAGTGCGGACTTGTTTACATTCAAGGGAAGGTAATAATAGCAGCATGGCATCTCAGCGGCCAACTGATATTCCACAAAACAGGACGGCTGCTAATGTACAGAAGCAAACCTTTGATGGTAGGCAGTTGGTCGCCAACTTACGAAATCCAACTACAGCAGTCAATGGAAATGCAGACCAGGCGACACCCCTACGGGAAGGTAACATCCAAAGGAAAGTTCACAAACCCAGCAGCTCGCAGACTGGGAATTCATATATACGACTGTTACAGTTGAGACGACAAAATGCACAGAAAGCAAACAAAATACTCCGACATGGCGTGGATGCGAAAACAACAGCAGAATATGGATCTTTACAGCCATATGCTACCATAGACAATGGTAAGTTCATGCAGTAATAACTATTCACCAAACAAATGAAATTAAAAATTCAACTATGAAGTGTATAGGTATCTCTTTATTTTTTTTTTCTCTTTTATTTTCAACAAAACAATACAAAAGTACATTGCAAGTTACATTATTAAAAAAAAAAAAAAAAGATAAGAGAAGTTACGTTTACCATTTAATTGGATACACTTCCCTTCATTTCTGAAAATTGCCCATTTCTGAAAAATATGAATTGATGGTTAAACAGTTTTGTACGGAAATGGAACATAAAAATTGTGTATACATTGTATGTATGTGTATACACTGTTCACAGTAAGTGTAGTTCCCATTCATCGGTACTGAAAAAAACGTATTCCATTTGTGTCATTGTAATTTTCTTTGATTGGCATATACCTTCAATTCAATGAAACCTACAGTATTTGGTTCACTGAGGGTTTTTTCATGTTTTGCTTGTACCGTAGATATGCAATTGACAGAATGTTTTTCTTTGAAACTAAATATTTCTTTTCCCAGTGAGTGAAAGTTTGCAATTATTCCAGACAGCAGAGAAGCTCAGCCAGCATCCTGATCTGTCTGAGACAGAGATCGCGAAAGCGCTCACCCGACAGCAGCAAGCAGGGGTACAGACAGTGAGCATACCGCCACACACTAGGAAAGGTGAGAATGTTAATGAAGAGTTAAAAACAGTCAAAAATGATATTGCAGAAACCGACTCTGTAACTGAGAATAACTCTTCTCGGCGAAACGATGCAGGTAAGGTGTTGGTTTAGATATTCTGCATGAGGTAGTTGTTATACGCTGCATGTAAATTGTTTCTGCATGCTCAGAGTTGCCATTTCATCCAGGCTAGTAATGTTTTTTTTATCATTGTTTGATCATTGCTCTCATACTTAAATCTGTTGTTTTAATTGCAATTTGATTGTATACTCTGGAAAAAAAATTACCATCAATTGAGAATGGCTTTGTTTTCGTTATGATTATTGTAGATTTTTTCATTGACTTAATTCATCTGTGATTTTGAAGTAGCTCAGTTGCATGCAAGTGAAGACATAATAATAACAAATCCACTCCTTTTGCTAACATACCGCCCTCTATTTGTTTTGTCAATGTTGTCAATATTGACCACTAGAGGTCGCTCTCATGTATCTTATTTTTTAATCAAGTTAGCTGCACGATGTTTATGTTTGTTTATATTGGAAACAAAACATGAAATAATGACAGTTGATGAACATATAAGATACAGCAAACTCATCATTGTATTTTCTGTTTGAACAGCGCCCTCTGCTTTGTCACTTGAGGAACAGCGTATAATGCAGTCATTGGACAGGTTAAATGAAAGGCTAAGAAGTGAGTTTTGAGGAAATTTGATTTGAAATTAAACTGAATTCTCCCTTTTCTTCCTTTCTCAGTTTCCAACCTAGTCCCTCCACTCACTTCTTCCTCCCCATTCCATATTTCCTCTTCCATGTTGTCTACCTTTACTCTTTGCACCAAATTGGTGAAAATATTTCAAAATTTATTTTTTTCATTTCTTGATAAAATAGAATCATATAATTACACTTGAATGGTATGTATGGTTTCAGTCATTAGTGAATGTGTGAAATCACACATGATCTCACCATGGCATTCTATTTAAGTGACACAGTAAAGTACTGAGTTTCTATGTAGAAATTACAGTGTACTGTATGGGGGCTTAACTATTTCCTGGGTTTAATTTTGGTATTTTTAATGACAGCTAAATGCATTAAATCAAAACAAAGTAAATATTCAAAGTTAGCAGAAGAATTTGTTGTTTTCTTCACAAACCAGTGAAATCAAAATATAGTGAATATTTTTAAAACATGAAACTTGCTGAAATTAACCTTGTCACCACAAGACTTTCTTGGCCAAATTTTTCTGCACTGTTTCTCTTATATTCTTCAACATTTCTGGAAAATGAACCCTAATTTTACTCAAAAAATGCTATTTTTGTCCCAATTTTCTGAAGGAAAGTGCATACTATAAACAGGACTATTTTGGGAATTTGTGATGAAAAGAGGGAACTGGTGGTGAAAAGGTTAAACCCAGTGCCATATGCTCTTCTACAGTACAAATGTATAAAGAAAGACAACTTAAATCTTGGTTGCGACACACAACATGAATAGATTGTCTTTCTTTACATGGTGAATCACAGGTATCACATGTCTTCCCTGTAACAGCTAATGAGAAATATACTTAGTGCTAATAATATCTTCATCTCAATAAAATGGTTTTATTTTTCTTTACAGTTGTGACTGATGGAACATTACAAAGTTCTCCGAGTAGTGTACTTACAACAAAACCTGCCTCTGTAAGTTACATGCTGAGGAATGATAGAACTGATTATAAATGATCTCCAACCTTTAGTTACCATTCAGTTAATGCATGTACATGTATTAGCAACCATATTAACATCATCATCATCATATCTCATGTGCATGTTTCTCTCTGCTTGTACTAGTAATTTATAACAGTGATACAAAAGATATATAGAGGTATAGGAAGCAACATTTCTACATCAAGTCACAGGGCAGAGGTCGTTTTCCCACGCATGCAAGAGATTTGTGTTGATAAACAAGTTGATTTTCCCACAATTCGCTCTATTCTAATAACAAACCAATATGGTACTTGTATGCATGTGAATGGACGCAGTGCCCATGGTGGTTAGCTCATAGCAGATCGTCTTTGAACTGTATCTGTGCAACACTCAAAGTTGTTTCCTGGATGTGTTTGTATTGTGTTAATCAACAATCTCATTCATATGTGATGCATACACATATGTGATGCATGCATGGCACAACAACCACCATTCTTTGAAGTTAAAAGTATGGAGGTTATTGAAACTCCTTTAAGATGCAATGTATATTTAAAGAAACCATATTTGAATTGCATGTACTGAGTAGATAGATTTCAAGCTATCACTACTTTGGTGCATCACACTTATCTATGCTAGACGTTTTTTCTTGTGAAAGACAGAGAAATTTTGCAATCTTGTATAATCACTCATTTGCTTGATCTGCTTGTTTCATCCCAATATTGTTTGCGTCAATGAAACCCACTGTGGGATGTACCATATTGCTGATAACACCTCAGTTATTTTAGTAGTGACAGCTTGGAAACTATTATAATTTTTTCAATTTTGTTTATTATATTTTCATTGTGAAATCTCCTACACACATCGAATATATTTCTCATTGACTTGAGCCTCATTGGGTGTAATAGTAATCGTTTGCTATTATATTCATATCAGAAGAATTGATTTTGTAATGAAATTGTAATGGGGTAGTGTTGACTAGTATCACTTGAGTGATACATTGCAAGAGGCGATAAATGCGTTCACTTTCTTCTGCACGAGTGTTAACAATCCCTACTGCGTACTCCATACATACTTTGCCGTTGTACTTATGTAGCAATTAGTTTCAACTAATCTCTAGTTATCATTAATTATCATTAGTGATGTGTAACTACAAATGCATGTACCGGTAGTGGTAGTCAATACTAAGCACATAGAAGATAAAGCTAGTTGCCAAAATTATCTTCATATCTTTGCATTACCAACTTACAATCGGTGAGCGACCAAATTCATATTTCATGTTTGGTAGAGAAAGTGACAGTAGCGTTTGTGTATACTGTATTTGCTCTATTCCCAAGTAGAAGTGAACATACACCAAAAATGTTATCTTGTATGATAGATTGATGGACTCATTTTAACCATAGACATACCTCTGTCATTTAACAGCAGTAATAATGATAGAGCAAACACAGTGTATATGCAAATTCAGCAGTTAGTAAAATATACATAAATATGTTAATTTGGTGCTGTTGTGCTTTGTCTTTTCTCAGTATTCAATGAGAGGGCATTCAGCGACCAGAGATTCCAGTATTGGTCGTGCTACTGCAGCCAGCGCTAGAAGGCAAGCAATAAATAGGAATATACGCAGGGTTAATTATAGACATTGATTCGTAGATTTTTGATTATAAAGATTTGAACATTTACAGCACAGTAGAGAATCATTACATTACGTGCACATTATGATAGTTGGCAGCCATCAACAGCACTTGGGATGCTGTCTTGTCTGATGAACTTCGAACACAACTTATCATCTTCAATTTCCTGAGAAGAATAGTAATGGTATCTAGCTTTGCTATTTCCTTTCCCTCGACACCTCCCTCGCACATGTACTGTGTGACCTGTTATGGGGTGTTTTCAATCTTGTATAAACGCACATGCAAAATCCTCCGCACATCTTACTGCTTCAATCTTATATTAATCCACCAAAATATATTTTATGTAGGTTGAAATTTACTCCTTTAGAACTGGTGTAGATGCTAATATATTAAAAAAACAGTTGTCGACAAAACTTTTGTTAGATTTGGGTGATTTTTGTTGGAATAATCAAAACAATTCAATACACATATTCATGTCACACCAATCCCAGGGATTGATAAGCCCCCCTTTAAACTTAAAACTCTAGTGACGAATAATTAAATACTAGCTGATATATTTACAAATTTGAGAAATTAAATTTCTTGGATATAAAGAGGGTTAGGGTAGTTTTGTTAGGGTTTTTGATACATGAATACTAATGTTGTGCAAAGTTAAAGATTTCATAGTTTTCACAGCTATATAATTTTGGTCTTTCCTACTGTACCATAACATGAATACTTAGTACACCTTCTGCAGATATACATGTCTGCATTTTTAGCTTGTATCATAAACAAATAAATAATATATTGTGTAATTTTGTTAATATTGAGTTGTAATATAATATTTTTTTTTTACAGAATTTTATTTGAATTTTTGCAATGAATTTTTTTTTTCAACTATTTAAAGCATATATTACAGCTGTAAATGTTATTTTCTGGTTTAACAGAATATGAAAACTGAAACATTTTAATATTGTATGAATTTAATAACATAATTATCATTTACCATTTTTAAGTTTTTTTTGCTTTCAGCCCAACATATCACGCTATTTCATGGATGTTTGTTGCTACTTTAAATGAACACCAGTTGATCTAAAAATTGATCAATACTGACATCATAGGAGATGTTAACAATTTGTATCTATATTGTATCTTGTAAAGTTGCCATCAACAATAAAAAAAAAAAAAGATACCAAAATGTCTAAAATAAATTAATCACAATTACTCTGATACTTTTTTTTTCAATAGTTTACTATAATTTTTTATCATTTTGTCCAAGATTCTGTCAGTTATTGCTACATGTATAGAATTATACATTGTAATTTGAAGATGGATTCTCAGAAGGAGCTCATATTTAGTGTGTCTTCCATGAACTACTGTCAAATATGTAATGGGTCTCACAGTTTGTAAAAAAAAAAGTGATTGGACTAGAACTACCCAGCATAATGGTAGCTGTGACCATTATTTGCAACCTGGATCATTGCGTAGCATTTGAAAGAGTCCAGCACCATTGGCATAATTTTCATTAAGTTTGACAGAGTTACACACCATTGTGCTAATTCCTACTATTTTAGGGATTCAAGTACGACTGGGGTCATTTCAATCCGTCTAGTGATCCAGTTGTCACGATTTCTTCTTTCGAGTGCAATTGTAAATTCTAACTCCAATTATTGAACCGTCATGATGTTCTACAATTTTCACACTTGCTGGTCCACAACTGCCTCACATGTGATAACACCAATGGGGAAAACTGGTGCACTTGGTGTATCAGCTATAACGGCCGATCTGTCTTCATCATCACAAATGTAAACCTGCTACAATGTTTACAATTATTGTCTGATAAATTATAAGGTTGACCCGTAATGTTAATCTCTTAAATGCTCATAATCATTTTCATAAAATAAGCCTGTATGATGTTTTCTATATAGGTAATAACACAGAAATATACAAGCATACATGGAAATGTTCATAATGTACTTTGAGACAAATAATGGCATTTCGATCTTTAAAGAATACTGAGGTCAGAACATTATCTGCTCTCGCCTTCAAATTCGATACAACTATATGTCAGTAAACTATTTCAATGAATTACTATTCACAAAAAAAAAGCAGAGGGATCAGCAGCCATTAACAGTTGTGTTTTCTCAGTTTAGAAATAACAGGAAATAACTGAATGATTCAGTACACATATTAGTTTGTGATGGGATTGATTGTGAGCCTTCATGCATACAAAATGCTATTTTTGTTTTCTCACTTTACATGTGTATATTTCAATAATACATTGTTACATCTTTTGTGTACAGTTTCCATAGTGACCCTGCTTTGTATATATTTATAATATATATATTTGTAAAGTATGTTGTATAGAAATAACGTCAGTCTGACATGTGTGATTTAACAAAACAGACTTGTTGGAGACGAAATTACTTCTAATAAACATGTCTCGAATATAAAAGTTTTGTTTCTGGTGTTGTCCATTTATGAAGATGGACATGTTCACTGATTACATGAATTGCTTAACTGAGATCTGAATGATATTTCAATAACTGCTCATCATATTTTAAAGCGGCTATAGCTGTATCTATCATTCTTTTTTTTTTTTTTTTTCAATTTTTATGTTATTTTGTTACTGCATAATCAAGTCTAGGTGTGTGTTTTTTTATTTGCTTGCCTTAATACTACAGAGGTTCATTTTTGTTTCAGTCGATTCTTAGCTATAGGTAAAATCCAGCTAAAATACCTTTTTTCCTATATTTTACATTCAACTTGTCAAAAATCAGTGAAAGTACAAAATACCCAAAAAGTCTCTTCAGCGGAAATTATTTCCAGCTAAGATAAAGTATTTTACAGTACTCGACTAAATGTCTCCAAACGTTACATTTCTTTGGCTATGACCTAATATAATAACATAACTTCAATTGCAAAAATACAAACTGGGCTAAGAAAGGAACTTTGAGTCGCTTGATTCTATAGAGATAATAGGATAGACTCGAAGGAATACACTTTAGTTCATTACGAATAGTCTTGCTTTATTCAGTTCAACTGCACAATCAGCTCAAGTAATGCTTCACTGTCTCAATCTCTTCTTCTCTTACAAAATCTTACAAACTTTTACAAACTCTTCAATAAAACATGGTAAACATGCAATTAACCAATTGCTACAGCCGTTGGTATGATCACGTGATTACCCTGGTAAAGTATTGCGAAATCACCCCCTACTGAATACAATTAGTAAACATTGTATTTATAAAATTTCTGTAATATATGTTTATAATGTCTAATTTAAACATTCAAGTTGTTGATTCTAAATAATACTGTCAAGTGGAATTTATTATCCTCTGGTCCACAATGTTACACAGTAAACTCATTCAAACTAATTTAAGTTGTAATGAAGGTAAGTTTAAATCATAACAAATTCCACTCGTCTCAAGACTTGAGCGCTTTTAAAATATTGTTTATGCCCTATCTTTTCTGTCTGATTCGACCTGCGTTCTTGAAACTTATCGCCGCATCAGATATGATGTCATTATCCTAAACATAGAGGTCAGGGTAGAATTTACTCTGATTGAAATCATTTCTGACAACAGATTCTATGATGTCATACTTTACCCATAATCCTTTGGTGAAGAATCAATTTGGCGGCCTACATAAATTGATGAAAAGTTATATAAAAAAATATGTAAATTGCATGTTCTTACATTTTCTGAGCTCTTTTATCTGGGAGTATTATGTTGTTAGCCTTGATTTTTTCTTTAATAAACAGAATAAACACTGTTCGCTGCCAGACGTATTCTAGATGGATGGTAGAAGCAATACAATAAATTTGCTCTAAATAGTAAAGAATCACCAACTCGGGATTTCAAGGATGCACATCTAGGTAGTAAAGCAAAAACATTTAGCCCATTTTAGGAGGAGAGCTTCTGGCATTGAGTTTCGACTTTCACTACTATTTAATGGACGATTGTTTTGCCCTGGAACATACTGTAGCGAGTCAGTACCTTATGAAATGGAAACACTGTTTGATGTAATTGTGTTGCGGGCTCTCATAACCTTTGTAATTTTACGAATAGTTATAATTGACCTGGCAAAAGACAATTTGAGGACTCAGTTGGTAATATTCAAGTCATGTGACCTAATTTGTATAGCTCCAACTTTTTAATTACTTTTTATATTTCATATTATGACTGACAACTCTCACCGCTATCCATTTTTCAATCTTGGGTTTGGGCGCTAAATTTGTTTGAAAATTTGCTGAAACTTCGGGCGCCCTCAAGGGGCCAGTTTAGAGAAGTGCCTAGTGGACATCGACCGCAGTACCACGTGACTACTGTGGTAAGTATTCAAGTCAAATCACAATTTTGCTTAAAAAACATTTCTGTCCGTTATCTCATTCACAACCTTTATTTACCAAATGTTTTAGAAACATGGAATATGTGGGAGCACACTGAACTCGCTAGGTAGTCACTTGTTTACATGCACTTCACGGGATAGACTAATTGCTAGACACTCTCATAATGACTAAACCTGCGATTTTTTGAAAACATAATGTTTCTGGCTGAAATTTACGGGATACTGAATGTGTCTCGACTGTTTTAAGAACCATTTTTAACCCTTTTACAGAGAAGTGTTTTACAGCCACGTAATTCACTACATATTAACACATTTGGTGGCCAAAACATTGTGTTCCAATAGTCATATGGCATTAACTTTGTTGAAGTAGAAATGTAAGGATTTCCCCTTTAGCTCCGCATCCCTATAGAACACACTGTTAGGTATGGGTAAACCTATTGAATTATAACTCTTGTCCTTTACTTTTTAGTAGGGGCACGATGTATAGCATGTTCTTAGCGTAGTTCTTCGACCGAACACGCAATGGTTAGTATGGAGGGGTGACCCGAAATAGACGTTGAAGATAGCTGATACGGATCCAACTAAAGAGGGCGTACTACACAAACATAAATCGGATCTCGCTATAAATAGTGGTGTTCACTGTGTTATATGTTGTAGTGGCGCTGCATTGGTGTGCTTTCAAAACGCGTGAGCCTGATAATATTTACCCAACTATTCTATCTATGTAAACTTGCTAAACTTTAAAGCGCGGTGGTCGTCGCGCAGCGCGTGTTCAAATTTCATGTAAATAAACAATGTATTTTACAACGCGTTGTATACGTCGCCATATATCGAACAGGACGTGGCGCGACGACCACCGCCCTTTAATATAGACCCTGTACGACTATCCATCTTTATGCATTGTTCTCTTCGAAATGATGCATCTATTTTTTATAATTCAACATTCCATTTAGAATATTTAAGTAAACCACGGAGAATGCCACTCTTGTTCACATTTTATAACGTGATGCCGAGTCAATATTTTATTTTATATTCATATAAACATCAACATGACTTTTCAATAGACTCTCCGGGGAAATATTTTGGGACAATTGATACCCCACTAAAGTGATAATTGACAATATTTAAAGGCCCTAACAAAAACAATGTGGGACAACACCAATTTTT